GACCTAGGGCTTTCTTAGAGCTGTTCCCAACTTTTATAGCAGTTTTCTCCTGTGAATGTTTTGATCAAGGTAATCTCAGCTTCCTATTTTTTCAGTCCTTACTAAGAGTTTTTCTGATCCACCAAAGACTTTCTTCTTGTTTTCCAGTGGGACTAAGGATTTATGTGTTTAATATTCTTTTTCTTTTTCCAGGGATTTGGATGGGAATGTTGCAAGATGGGGCCTGGCCCAGAGCAGGTCTGCTTCAGGACAGCCTGTAGCATGTGCCTTCTTGCCTTCATGCAGGAAAGATTTCACAACAGGAGTCCAGGTGATTCTAAGAGTTTATTAAAGCTGGGAACAGTGAAACAAAGGGAGAATTTAAGGTAGAAGAAGCAACAGAAAAGCCTATGTGGTGTTCTGTTTTGACTCCCTAGAAATGTCATAGAAGAGAAGTGAGCCAAGGAGGGGCTGCTATTAACTCACTGCGAAGTCAGAGAAAAATAGGGCCCTGGAGAGAGGACAAGGGTATGCCTCCGAGGAACTGCCACTGCCTGCTGCTCTCTGCTTGCAAGTCTTGTGGGGACCCTTAGATTTTAGAAGGAAGTAAAAAGTTCATGCCCGAGCAGGGGCGTTGGCATGCTCTAGAATGAGTCAGCACCAGGTCTTTGTCTTCACGGATTTAATCTTTATTCTGTGGGTGAGACTCTTAGGGGAGGTTTTCAGCAGGATATTCATCAGCTTTCCAGGTGTTTTTTAATATGCTGATGCATCAAAAGTGTATAGGAGAGTTTGGGACTATTCTTTGGTCTACTTTACTGTTTTACTTTTATCTTGAGTCTGTCTGTCTTTAACAGGGTTTTTTGTTGTTGTTGCTGGGTTTTTTGGGGTTTTTTTGGTTACTTGTTCCCCTAACTTCATCTGTCCTTGGGTTTAGCTGGCACAAATGGCATTAATTGGGTCTCTGTTCTTTATTTTACCAACCAGGCTAATTTAAGCTACGTATTCTCCGATTAGCCGTGCTCAGAGCCTGGGAGATGGGTGTGACTCTAACCTGTGATGCAGCCAGAGATGGTCTCCAGTTGCTGAGTCCAAGTAAGCATCTTGGAGGTAGTTCCTATGTCATGGGGTCACATCTGCCCAGACTAACAATGGCAGCCGAGAAAGGCAGAAGAGACCAGACTACTGGAAATGTAACCCACTGTGGGAGGAGCTAGGAATGGGATTTGGAGGAAGATCTGCACCAAGATTTCAAAATGCAAGCGTGGTAGCCATGCTGAAGCTCTGGACCATGTGGAAAGGAGAGGGGAAAAGCCATGAGAAGCTCTCTCTCTTGTGTTCTTTTAATCATGCAGTTTAGGAGCGGAGAAGAGGCTCTTGATCATGCCGCTTAGAAAGGAGCAGAAAAGCAGGATATAGCAGATGTGTGAGGTCTTGGCCATACGGTTTGAAAAGAGGCACATGGACCCCTACTGGCCCACCATGAGGACGCAGTTTTAGATTATGAGCAGGAGCCTAGCTAGCCAAGCATGGATGAATGAAGGAAGCCGGAATATAGGTGGGAATATGCCCAGTTATGCTACAGGCTTCTATTTCTTTTCCTGAGAGATGGTATCTCTGACTGGCCTGGTTGGGCAAAGGGAAACAGGACTGTGTGTTTGTAGGTCTTTTTTTGTTTCTAAAGCAAGTGAGATTAAACAGCAGAATTCCACCATTATTCTAAACCTGTATAATTTTTCAATAAATATTTCCTCTCTTTTTCGTAAGACTCTGACATTGGGAACCATGGTTCTTATCAGCGGCAGGCAATAGAAGCCAGTGGTTCTTTTATAATTACTATTCCTAATGTCTGTGAATAAAACAGGCTATAAACATTTGCACTGAGGGAGAGCATGTAATACCAGCAAAAATTTTTCCACTTAACACCTCTTCATTTCAAAAGCCCAACACATACCCATACACACACTCATATCTTCAAGATGATTGCAGTTTATTTTGCAAATCATTCTGTGCACTGGCTCCCATTTCCCACAGTAGTTTGTTACACTCCATGACACCAAGGGACCAAAGGACCAGGGTCTGTTTTTGCTCAGAATTGAGTCTTCCATGTCCAAAATAGTGATTGACACAGAGTAGGTGCTTGGTAAATGCTTTTTGAATGAATGAAGGAAGGAATCTTATTGATTTCAAGCTTTTAAAATCATTCTTTTATTTTTTCTTTAATTTTTATTTGTTTGTTTGTTTGTTTGTTTTTAGAGAGAGAAAGGGAGGGAGAAAGAAAAGGAGGGAAATATCAATGTGTGGTTGCCTCTTGAGCATCCCTTACTGCTGACCTGGCCTGCAACCCAGGCATGTACTGTGACTGGCAATTAAACCAATGACCCTTTAGTTTGCAGGCTGGCACTCAATCCACTGAGCCACACCAGCCAGAGCTCCTTTGTTATTTTTTAAAAATATATTTAAGATCTTCTAATTGTCAGTCTTCGAGATAGTGTGTATTCTGGTTTAGTTTCCATGCTCTCAATTTACTTGTTATGTACTCTTAAGAGTTCACAGTAACACAAAACATTTAAAGACTTTTGTTTTGCTAGAACAGAAACACAATAGATTTCTTCCATTGATACTTGATGTGAGATATTATGAGAGAGGTTAAAGGTTTCATAAAAATGATAAAATGTCATAATTATAATTTTCTATCTTTGGTATTAAGGCATGTAACCATTCTTTAATCCTATATAATCAGGACCAAGGTTGGATTCAAAAAATGATTTTCTTGTAAGAAGATTTAATTGTCTCCAAGACAGTTTCCAATACTTGATATCTATAGCTCCCTGGTCCTTTCATGGGATCCACACCACCCAGATGTCTGGCTGTTGTTTTCTTAAAAGTCCTCATAGCACAAAAGACATGAATAACCTCCTCCCACTGGACAGTAAGGTTACTTGCTCTCCTTGTAAGAAAGTTTACCTTCAATTATTCCAGAGAACCTAACTTGCACCTACTTTTCTTAGTGTGACACATTTACTTCCTGTGACACATGGTTATTTGAGGACCCCTAAATGAATCTCATCAGAAAGGGGGAAAACAAAACCAAATTTTATCTTTTTGGACATCCTAGCACATTTGGAAATGCCTCAAGCACTTCTGCTCTGATAAAGGTCATTCTAAAATATAGACTGCCTCCAGGATTTCCTAGGCTAACAAAACAAAGTGGTCCTGTTCCCTGCTAGCATGTGGGCATCTCAGAGAGAGGCCATACTCTCATCCTTGAATACAAGGAATGCATCCACAGCAAAAAAACCAATTCCAACACTGGTCTACAAACAACAGCAGCACATTCTCATTATGAAAACAGGGGAAACCAACCTTACTTCTGCTTTATTGCTTGGAAAAGGCTATCCTAGGACACCAGAAATCAAGGTATAGAGTTTTACGACAATTCTTGGAGATGTTACAATGGTAGATGGACAGCCAAAAGAGATGGCACAAACCAGAAAGTGCTAGAAAAAGAGAAAAAGAGACAATTAGCCCAAACTGCTCATCAGCAGACCCCTCCCCCCGTACCCCAAACAAACTCAGACACATCCACAGCCTCTAGTTCCACACCTTTCCACATTCTAGGGGATATCCTGGGCTTTGGACCAGGTGTTTTTTTAACTAAATGTTTTATTTTGAGAAAATTATATGCAACTGTAGGCAGTAACACCTAGACATCCCATGTGCACTTTATTCAGTTTCCCCCAAAGAAAACATCTAGCCAAACTATAGCATAATATCATAACCACGATATTGACGTTCAGATACAGAACATTTCCATCACCACAGTCCCCTACTGTTGCCCTCTTACAGCCCCATCCAACCTCTCCCTAACCCCTGGCAACCACTAATCTGTTTTCACTTTTTATAACTGGTCATTTCAAGAATGTTACATAAATGCATAGGGCCATGTACATGCAAATGTACAGTTACACAGTGTATGAAACCTTTTGGAACTGGCTTTTTCCCTCCATAATTCTCTGGAGATTTGCATAGGACATTGTCTATACCAATAGTTCATTCCTTTTTGTTGCTAAGTGTTATGCCATGGCCTATCTTCTTTAAAATTTATTTTAAAATTATAATCGGCATACAATATTGTATTAGTTTCAGGTGTACCTTAAATATCTTACAAAGTGATCACCATGATAAGTCTAGTACTTACTTGCACCATACATTGTTATTAAAATATTGTTGACTATATTTCCTATGCTGTACTTTACATCCCTGCAACTATTTTTATAACTGGTAATTTGTACTTCTCAATGTAGCTCAACATGAAAAAAACAATTCCCATTAAAAAATGGGTGGAGGACCTGAACATTTCTCCAAAGACATACAGATGACCAAAAGACATATGAAAAGATGCTCAACATCACTAATCCTTAGGGAAATGCAAATCAAAACCACAGTGAGCTGTATCACCTTTCACCTGACACAATCACAAAAAGTCAACAAACAAGTGTTGGCAAAATGTGGAGAAAAGGAACCCTCCTGCACCATTGGTGGGACTCTAAACTGGTCGAATCACTATGGAAAACAGTATGGAGTTTCCTGAAAAACTTAAAACTAAAACTATCGTATGACCCAGCAATTCCACTTCGGGAATTTATCCTAAAACACTATTTCAAAAAGGTATACAAACCCCTATGTTCAATGCAGCATCATTCACAATAACCAAGATACAGACATTCATTTTTTAACCTGGAGACCTACCAAGGCAGGAACGTTCCCCCCTCTTCCAGGCACGTGATCCTACAGCACTCAGCCATAGCAGGCTCTGCTTCACCCGAGGGGTGGAAAGGGGGATGGGGAGGGGAGCGTAAGGCGGGGTCAGGGGCGGGGCTCAGTTGGACGGGCCCAGCGTCCTCTTGGTGCAGGGAGTGCGTGGGGCGGGGCCAAAGGCCCCGCGAGAGCGTCACTTTGGAGGGGGCAGTGGGTGGGGCCGAGCGTGGGATAGGAGCCCAGGGAGGCGTTCGCCACCGGACCGCCAGGGCCAGCCCCCTGGGCACCGCAAGTCCTTCCCAACTCTGACTCCCATGCAAAGCGGGTCAGTCCGCCCGCCTCCTGGAGTCTGCGAGTGCGCCACAGGGCCCTGTTGCGGACGTCCAAATCTTCCCTTTTGGAGGCGCGGGTCCGTGTCCTGCCGCTTTTTTCCTGGGTGTCCGCGGACCGGAGGGTGAGTGCCTCCACTTGCCGGGCACCCGGGGATTAGGAGACATAGATCCCGGGACACTGCTCTCGATGGGGACTGCAGGGCAGGAGAGGTTTCTGCAAATTTCAGTTTCGAGCCAGAGTGGAAACACCTGGTCTCTGTGGTTCCTGCTACCGTGGCCCGTTGACCATTTCGAAAATAGAATTTTACTTCACTCTTCCTAAACACTGTCACATACATGTTAGGCCTGGTTGTAAGCGTTTCACAGACTCTCATTCAATCTGCCTTCTACCCTGTTACAAGTAAGGAAATAGGGCATCCAAAAATCAGTTTGTAAAGGGGGTACCAAATTACGCCAGCTCACCACAAATTGGCCTTTGTCAAGTATATTGTGGCTTCTGTTGAACCTTAAAAAAAAAAATCAGTGTCTTTAGTCTTTAATTTCCCTGAAAATATCAGCCAAAAATACATGCAGGGCGTGTATTAAATAATACATGCTTCTGGCAGTGCTTTTTTTTTAGCTGGGGGCGGGGGGGTGGGGGGGTGGGGGGGGAAGGAAATAACTGAAGTGCCCAGGAGTAGAGGAGTGGTCATAAGTGGCCATACAGATAGTGGTGTACCTACACAGTGAAATGTTACCTACTTAGAATGACAGTCACAGAGCCTGTCTTTATGTAAAAGAGGCAAAGTGAAAACACAAAACAGCACCTGGATACTGACTAAGAAGAAATGATGTACATCAAAAATATCAGCCCATTTGATGTGTATATATAGTTTAATAACCACATTGTTCTTTTTTCCTATTGACCTGGGTAAGTGCATAATTCCTAACAAAGAAGAAAAGATTACTGCTGTGGAGTGGGGCACTAAGAAAGGTGAGTGAATGGGAATAGAAGAGCACTGGACAGCAAGTCAAGAGCCTGACTTGAATATTTTATTTTGGATAAGTAACTTACTTATTGAGCCTTGGTTTCTTATTCTGTACAACTAGGAGAATTGTACAAGATGGGGAGTCACAAACTCAAATGCCTTGAGTGCCCAGGCATCTGATATGAATATGTAAACTGGTCAAGCAAAACGATAAGGAATGGTGGGGCCTGGGGATACAGAAGAATACACGTCCTCCTCATCCTAGGAATCTCAGGATAAGGTGTTATGTGAGTCTGAAGTGACACTGATAACCTTTCAAAAAGGAATCAGCACATACCACATTCCGTTTAAGATGCTCAAATGGCTGTCGTCTTGTGCTTAGAATAACATCCCTGCCCCTGTCCTGCAGCCCCCGCCCACCTCTGACCACATTGCCCACCTTAACTCTCTCTTTTGTTTTTTACCATGGGTCAAACAGTTTTTAGAATACTCCGTGTCAGTTCTACCATATGCCTGTTATTTGCTCTTTGCCCAGATTTTTGCCTGGCTTGGTCCATATCATCCTTTATGCTCAGAGTTATCTTCTTGGGCCTCTCTGTTCCAAAGTATCAATCACACTCCTGCCATTTTATCTGCTAAAGTACTGTATTTTCTTATCATTATCACTATTAGCATTATTATTAGTACTTATCACTATCTAGAATTCTGTTGTTGCTTTGCTTGCTTGTTTTATCCGCTTCCTCACCCCACACCCCCAGAATAAAATTCCTCTCCGCTCTTTTATTCACCACAGTAGCCTCAGCATCTAATGTAGTACCTGGCCAGAGGGTGGGTGAATCCTCCAAGGCAGGGACCCAGCTGAATGAATGCATAAATCAGTTAGGAATTCTGTCCCACTCACTACTAGTAATAGAGGCTCAACTCCAAGGGCTTAAACACAATTTGGAATTTGATCTCATGTAAAGAAGTCTGGAGGCTGGCAATTCAGAACCATCTCACAGCTCCAAAAAAAGCATCAGGAACCCAGGTTCCTTTCATGTTTCTCCTTTACCATCCTTAATCCATGACCTCTACCCTCAGGATAACAAGGTGATTCACTGAGCCCTCACTATCATTCCACAGTCCAGCTTGGAAGAAGGCCAATCACAGGTGGCCAAAATGGTACCTCCCTTCCTCTCCCCACCTCCCCTGCAACAGAGTCAGCCCCTTTAAGGATATGTCCACCTCAGTGGCCATACCTAAGTGCAAGAAAGGCTGGGAAATGTAGTCGAGCTCGGCTCATTGACCCCTGAATAAATTCAGGGATTATTAAAGAACAAAAGGGGACTGGGTAGCCAAAGAAGCAGGTTTTTAACTGTTCAATAGTCAATTTAAGGAGATTGGAAAGGACTTGAAATCACCTTTGGGATATGAGCCATTTGAAGTTTCTATCTTCTGATCAATAAGAGCTGTTTGCTCCCTCTCCATTTCAAGTGCCCTGCTTTCTCCCAATGCAGCTTCAACCAGTTACTGAAGTCTTTCTTTCTGTGTCCAGGTCAGGGAGCCCATTCCACTGCACCCTACCTTCACTTCTTGGCAATATTCTGCATATCCTAGCTCTTTACTTCCTGGACAGTGTCGAGCACCCTGGAAGGTGCTGATTCAGGCTCTGCTCCAGATTGCAGTGTAGCAGTGGATAAGCCTGATTGCTGCTTCTGTTTTGATGTTGTTGTTATCCTGCAAAGATGCATTCATGTTAAAATTGTCCTTTGAGCAACATATCCACACTGCCCCTGAGTCACAGGCTCTGAACTGGTTGTTTTCCAGCAAAGAAAGCAGGTTTGTTGGAGGGCCCTGTCTTCCCCAGAATGAAGCCAGTTAGTGAGGATTCAGGCCTCCCTCATGCCTGTGAGAGCTAACATTTTTTCAGAACCTTATTATGTGCCAGCTACCATACATATTATTCTCTCTCTTGTTCATTGTAGACCATGGTAGTCATGACAGCTATCAAATTTCTTACTAAAACCCCAGCTCTTTATTCAGTGACATTGATTATGTGGAAGGAAAACCTGGGAGACAGAGGAAGGACAGAGAGGCACGATGCTGCTTCCTCTCAGATGTTTCATTTCCCAGGACCTCTCCTCTATGGCTGCCTTCACAGAAGGTTCTCAAAAAAAAGTATTGGTTTTGACATCCTGTCCTGTGAGGCCTAAATCTCCAGAAAGTTCCTTCCCTGTTTTTTTTTTTTTTCGATTCCCAAGTTTTATTCAAGAACTCATAAAAAATGTGCCAGATAAATTAGTTTTGATCTTCATCTTCCTCCTCATCATCCTGGTTAATGTGGAAGTAATCCAATTTGTAACTTTCTTTGCTGCTAGCAACTACTTGCAACCAATCATGGAGATTATTCTTCACATATTTTTTGGTGAGAGAATTATTTCAAATACCTTTTGGGAGAAGGCGCCTCAGAAGTTACAGTGATCTTGCTCTTTCTGTTTTCAATGGTTATTTCCCCTCCACTAAGATTCCCATCTTTTCCATTCACTTTGATTCTCTCCTGAAGAAACTTCAAAATTGGCAGCATCCATGGTTCTGTCTTCTACTCGGCAGGTGCAGTCAAGGGCAATCTTCAGAACTGCCTTCTTATTTTTGCCCCCCTTTGCCACAAGCCTTTTCACAGGCACCATGGTGGTGGTGGAAGCAGAAAGGGTAGTTCCTTGCCTCTCTTGAAAAGCCTTTTTTGGTATGTTTGCATGTCCTCCACAAAGTGGTGGTGAGGCTTAGAGCCAGTACATCAGCTCCACCAGCTTGTCTCCCCATCACCCTCAAGTGTTTGTTTTTCTCTTCTAGGTTGTTGAAGTCACTGAGGAGAGCAACCACATCTGAAAGCCCCGGGCCCACCACACAGAATCCTTCTGTGCCCAGGATCAATAGCAAACCTTCTTTTTTGACCTGTCAGAGAAAAAGTTCATCATCCTAGAACATGGCAGGTAACTATTAGCTATGGGGGGTTAAACATTTTTAAATTATAATTTTAATTAAAAGTGGAATATGTTTTAAAAATCTGAACAACACTGAAGTGTATAAAACTTACTTTGTTTATAATGTAAATCGCTACCTTGAATTACTTATTTTGTATTTTCTTTTAACAGATATATAAGGAGATTTTTAATGGATTTAATTTCTTTTAATTTTTTAAATTTAATTAATTATTTTTTCAAATACATTTGTCTCTGCCTACCCCCCACCACTTTCCCTTGCCCCTCTCCTTCCTTCCCTCCCTCAACTCTTCCCCTTTACTTTTGTCCATGAGTCCTTGTTATATGTTCCTTGACTTTCCCCTTCCCTTCCTTTTCCCCTGCCCCCCCTTCCCTCTTGTCTCTGTTGTATTTTCTTACTTTTTTAATTACGTATTTAAATCCTACAAAAATGTAAGTTCCTCGAAAGTAAGGGCCATGTGTATCCAGTCTCTGGAGTGATCCCAGGAAATAGCAGATGCTCAATAAGTAGTTGAGTGAGTGAGGCTCAGGAGTAACCATGGTTAAAAATTCAGTGTGACACCCCATCTTAAGTTGTGTCCCTGCTCATGAAAAACACCCCATTCTGTGACATCTTTTTTTTCTCTCAACAATATAACATGAAAATCCTTTCATTTCAGAAGGTAAAAATTCACCTTACATGTGATAATATACATTAGGTTTTCTCTGCGTCAACACTACTGACATTTTGGGCCAGATAACCCTTTGCTTTGTGCATTGTAGGATGTTTAACAGCATCCTTGGGGCTCTATCTACCAGATGCCAATAGTGCCCGCTCACCCCCAGTTGTAAAAAATGTGTCTCCAGATATTGTAAAATATCTCCTGAGAGGTAACATTGCCCCTAGTTGAGAATTATGGATGTAGATATTTCATTTGTCTGCATTTCCCTATTAAGCCCCAAAGTAGAGTCCATTCATAAAAAATGAATCTGAGAAATTAAAATAAAAAATGTTACTCAGGTTCTGGCCTAGATGGAGGCATAGGTAGGAATGCTTTGCTTCCTTGCACAACCAAAAGAAGGATAACAACCAATTTAAAAACAATAAACAACCTGAACTGCCAGAATAGCAAACTGCATGGAATTCCGACAACCAAGAAATTAAAGAAACATTCATCCAGATGGGTAGGAGGGGCAGAGATGGGCAGAGGACTTGCATCAAGACTGCGGGCTGTGCGTGAGGAGGGGCTGGCTGACTGGGAAACTAAAGACTCAAAACCTGTAGCTGTGAAATACTGTGGGGGCTGCGAAGGCAGGAGAAACTCCCAGTCTCACAGGAGAGTTTGCTGGGTATTGGGGCTAGAGCAAGTGTGCTAGCAGCGTTGTTCTCTCTCTGACCCCTCTCCCCCAGAGAGCTCCACAGTGTGAATTGCCCCACCCTGGCAGATACCTAAGGCTGTACCCTTACAACTTAATAGGTGCACTGAGACAAAGAAATATGGTCCAAATGAAAGAACAGATCAAAACTCAAGAAAAAGACCTAAGTGTTGAGGAGACAGACAACCTATCTGATGCAGAGTTCAAAACACTGGTAACAGGATGCTCACAGAGTTGATTGAGTTTGGTCGCAAAATGAAAGAGGAAAGAAGGCTATTCAAAGTGAAATAAAGCAAAATATATAGGGAACCAACAGCAAGGGAAGGAAACAGGGACTCCAATCAACTCTTTGGAACAAAAGGAAGAAATAAACATCTAACTGGAACAGAATGAATAAACAGGAATTCAAAAAAATGAGGAGAGGCTTAGGAACCTCTGGGACAACTTTAAGTGTTCCAACGTCTGAATCATAGGGATGCCAGAAGAAGAAGAGGAAGAGCAAGAAATTGAAAACCTATTTGAACAAATAATGAAGAAAAATTTCCCCAATCTGGCAAAAGAAATAGATTTCCAGGAAGCCAAGTCCCAAGGAAGTTGGACTCAAGGAGGAACACACCAAGGCACATCATAATTAAGTTACCCAATATTAAAGATAAGGAGAGAATCTGAAAGACAGCAGGAGAAAAGGAGAGAGTTACTTAAAAAGGAGTTCCCATAAGACTGTTAGCTGATTTCTCAAAAGAAACCTTGCAGGCAAGAAGGGGCTGGAAAGAAGTATTCCAAGTCATGAAAGGCAAGGAGCTCCATCCAAGATTATTCTATCCAGCAAAGCTCTCATTTAGAATGGAAGGGCAGATAAAGTGCTTCCCAGATAAGGTAAAGTTAAAGGAGTTCATCATCACCAAACCGTTATTATATGAAATGTTAAAGGGACTTATCTAAGAAATAGAAGATCAAAAACTATGAACAATAAAATGACAAAAAACTCATAACTATCAACACCTGAACCTAAAAAACAAAAACTAAGCATACAGCTTAGAACAGGAACAGAATCATAGGAATGGAGATCACATGGAGGGTTGTCAGTGGGGAGGGAGGGGGAGAATGGGTAGGAAAAGGTACAGGGAATAAGAAGCATAATTGGTAGGCATAAAATAGGGGGAGGTTAAGAAGAGTATAGGAAATAGAGAAGCCAAATAACATATGTACAAACCATGGTCATGAACTAAGGCGGGGGTAGGGGGCGTGGATGCTGGAGGGTAGTGGGGTGCAGAGTGGAGAGGGAGAAAGGGGAGAAAAAAATTGGGACAACTGTAATAGCATAATCAATAAGATACACTTTAAAACATTTTTTTAAATGTTAATCATTAATTTAACTCATGTACTTCAACCTTTATGCTCAGTTGAATGCCCCAAAATTGTTTGCTTATACTAACCTTTATATTTTCTCCTTAAGGACCTAAACTGAAAATTTTAAATCAAAAGTTTAAACGTTTTGGCCTTAGTCATCACCTGGGAAAATATAAGCAAATCACCAGAGCTGCCTCCCTGAAAAAAATCAGTACATAATCTTACATGAACAAGCAAAACACTGTTTTAGAGACTATTGGTAATAATGACACATCAGGACCTGCAAGACCTGACTCTTTTTAGACTTCTTGTCATACTCACCACCAAAAGCAGGGTTCCTCATGGCCCTGCCTTCCCTGTAGTAGTACTAGGAGTCCAATGTTGGTATCTTGTTGTTAAGTGTGAAATTTCGATGGAACTGAAGGAAGCGAAGCAGAACTGTCTCAGTAGCTGACACCTGCCAACGTAGGGTTAGCACAAAAGATTAGTTATGGTACTTTTTTTTATTCTGATGTTCAGAAACAGGGCTATAACTTCTCATAGGGGATAACCAAAATAGATTGGAATTTTAAAGAACTTGGTTTTATGATTTTTGAAGAATCATAACTTGACCCATTGTATATTTGTATATTAGTAAACTCAAGTAATGATGAGCTATGATATGATTGGATTAAAAACTCACTATAAAGGTTGATATTTCTTAGTTTCAACTGTTGTAATGCTACACGTTTTATTTTTGTCTTAGTCTTTATTAAATTTTGACAAAGAGGAATTGCTCTTTAAGAGAAATTATTTCTTTGAATTTAGGTAAAAAAGTACTCATTGTCTATGCGCACCAAGAACCTAAGTCTTTAAATGGATCCTTGAAGAAAGTGGCTGTGGATGAACTGAGCAAGCAGGGCTGCACTGTCACGGTTTCTGATCTCTATGCCATGGACTTTGAGCCGAGAGCCACAAGGAAAGATATCACTTGTAAGTCATGGGTCACAAGCTCTGTGTTTTCTAAAGCTTCCTTCTTTGTGTGTGTACATTTTTTTATGGAGCTATAACTGATATAACATTAGTTTCTGGTTTACAATGTAATGATTCAGTATATGTATATATTGTAAAATGATGACCACAATAAGTCCAATTAATACTTATCAACTCACAAAGTTACAAATTTTTTTTCCTCATGATGAAAACTTTTAAGATTCACTCTCCTAGCTACTTTCAAATATACAGTACTGGCTTACTGACTGTAGTCACCATGCTGTATGTAACATTTTTATGACTTATTTTATAACTGGAAATTTGTACCTTTTGACCTCCGTCACCTGTATTGCCCATTCCGTAACCCCTGCCTCAGCCAATTACCACTCTGTTCTCTATATCCATGAATTCAGTTATTTTAGTTTGGTTTGGGAGACTTTGTTTGCTCTTTTTTGTTGGGTTTTTTTTTTAAGATTTTATTTATTTATTTTTAGAGAGGGGAAGGGAGAGAGAAAAAGAGGGAGAGAAACATCAGTATGTGGCCACCTCTCGCACACCCCCAACTGGGGACCTGGCCCGCAACCCAGGCATGTGCCCAGACTGGGAGTTGAACCAGCAACCCTTAGGTTTGCAGGCCAGCACTCAGTCCACTGAGCCACACCAGCCAGACCTGTTCTTTTCTTTTGTTTTTAAAATTCCATTTTTAAGTGAGAGCATACCTTTTTCTGTCTGACTTACTTCACTTAGCACAGTATCCTCTCAGTCCATTAATGTTGTTGCAAATGGCAAGGTTTTTTTATTCTTTTTTTGTGGCTGAATAATAGTATTCTAATGTATATATACCACATCTTCTTTACCCATGGCGTGGCTATTATAAATAATGCTGTAATGAATATGGGGATGCCTATGTATTTGTTTTTAAAGTAGTATTTTTGTTTTATTTGGATAAATACCCAGAAGTGACATATCTGAAACATAAAGTAGTTCTATTTCTAATTTTATGAGGAACCTCCATACTGTTTGCCACAGTGGCTGCACCAGTCTGCATTCCCACGAACAATGCACAAGGGTTCCCTTTTCTCCACAACCTCACCAACACTTCTTGTCTTTTTTTATAATAGCCATTCTGACAGATGTTAAATAATATCTCACTGTGGTTTTGATTTGAATTTCCCTAATAGCTTGTGAAGTTGAAGGTCTTTTCAGGCACCTGTCGGCCATTTCTATGTCTTCTTTGTAAAAAGTCTTTGTAAAATAGAGGACTTCTATTCAAGTCCTCTGCCCATTTTTAAGTCAGATTATTTCTTTTCTTGCTTTCTATTTTTTAATTAAAAAAAGCTTTGAAAAAGACAGTAATTATTGCACATAATATACAATTCTCAAGTCAAGAATTCCACGGTTCAATTTTGTTTCCTGTCCCTCAGACACCCAATTTCACTGCCTCTGAGGTAACATGTTACACATTTTCTCAATATCCTTTCAGGAGTAGTCTGTGCTGTACAAAGCAATTACAGGTATATTCTCCATTTTCCCCCCACTTTAAAAAAATATATTTACATGTAGTATATTTTATATGTTGGTTTGCACATTGCTTTCTGTTTTCTTTTTCTTTTTTTTTTTACTGCTGCAAACTATTCCATTGTATGGAGGTCATAGTTTAAAGTAGCCCCTATAAAGGGCACTTTAGGTTGTTTTTCATCTTTTGCTGTTATAAACAGTGCTGCAGTGAATAATCATGGCCATACGTGTTTTCCTACATATACTAGTATATCTAGATGTGAAATGGCTGGCGTGAGAGAATGTGCATTTTTAATTTTCATAGGTAATATCAAATTGCTTTCCATAAATGTTATACCAGTTTATATGCCTACTAGCAGTGTTTGCAACTGCTCATTCCATCACTATCACCACCAACAATATTACCAACTTTTTGATAATTGCCAATCTTACAAGTGAAAAAACGGTCTCCTGGTATAGTTCTAATTTGCATTTTTCTCATTAGAAGTGAGCTCTACTATCTTGAGGGAGGAAGAAATTTTCCTCTGCTTTTCTAGATTCTTCTGGCTGGTTTAATAATCAAATAGACATGAGACACATCAACACGAGAAAATAACCAGCCCTCGCTGGCTAGTTCAGATGGATAGACCATCATCCTGATACACCAAGGTTGTAAGTTTGATCCCTAGTCAGGTGACATATAAGAAGAAATTAATGAATGCATAAATAAGTGGAACAACAAATCTCTTTTTCTCTTTTTATTTCCCCCTCTCTCTAAATATCAATACATTTTTTAAAAAGAGAAAATAACCAAATTTAATTATGTATGTATGTATGGGAACCCCACATACACGAGAGTCAGAGACCCCACATACATGAGAGGTTCAGAGACAGAAAAGGAAAATAAGATATATATAGCATTATGAGCTGAGGATGAGGTAAGTTACCCTGGGGCTTCACAGTGGAGGAAGGTCATTCAGAGGAAGGTAAAAAGAGCAGATATTCAGTAATTAGAAGTTAGCCCTGCCATATAGGTGGATCATAAAAAGTTATTTCTGCCAATAACACATTATTGGCAAGGCCCCTAATTTAAAGTCTACAGGAGAGGAAAAGTTTCTTTCAAGCCATTAGGGTCTAAGTTGCCTTCACCTCAAAATAATTCACATGCCAAAGTGGCACGCATCTTCCAGAGGCCTGTTATAAACCTCTTCAATCTTGCCTTTGAAACTTCCTGAGAAGTTTTACATTTCAGAAGGTTGGGTGGATAGATTGTTCCAGATCTGATTAAATCAATCTCAGTCCTGAGAAAAGTTTAGTTTATTTAAACAGTCATGTCTCATTTCAGGAGTCGGTGATGCAGGTGGTTCCCACAGTTAGGCCTATGTTCTAAGGAGCCAGGAATTTATTAAGAGGCATCTTTATAGAAACAAAATAAAAACAAGCATTAATGATTGGAGCTGACTGTGATCCCACTTTCTAAGTTCTGAAAGCAGTCAGTTGAGAAGATTTCTAGATGTCTAGCTCAAAGCATCTTCAGATAGAGTGAAGTCAGGCAATGACAGTCTGACATATTCTCCTGATTTTTAGTTTGAATATCTCTGGTGATCTTTCTGCAGCAGGCACAAAGGTTGTCCATATATAAAGTGTTGTGGTGATTTCTCTGAAGTTTATATCAAGTTGTCCCATTTTTACCTTGCTTGGCTTTATGAAAAGGGCAGTTTTAGTTCTCAGTGATTCTAAATCAGAAGGTGGAAGAAAAATCAAATTATTAATTGGGAGAGTTATAGCCAGATATTGGAGGAAGCTAGAAGACTTCTAGATTCAGTACAGTTTATGGGTAGAAACAAAACCTCAAAAGACAATGAATAACACTGAACTCTTAACATCCACAAAAATGTACTATTGAAATGTAATTTTTTTCTGAAGTCACCAGCAGTTTTACCAGAAATAATCAAATTAAGACTAATTTGTTTGCAAAATAGGTGTAGTCTCAATAGACTTGACCTGTTATTTATATAGGTGCAACAATAATGTAATTAACCACCTAGAGCTCTTTTAAATCTCTTTTGCTGGAATTTTTCATAAGGAATCTTCAGATTGAACTTTTTAAACCCTCTCAAGGCTGGAGAAACAAAGGTAAGGACTTGCCATGATACTTTGCCTGCAATACCTATATTTTTGGGTGAATTCCTCTCTTCTTGAGGTCCCAAAAGTATAGTGAGGTTCCTGTACCTGCCAGGAAGTGACCTTCCTTATTCACTTAGAAAGGTTTCTGGTTAACCTATAAGCAAGGTGCCAGGCCAGTATTTCTAAGGGTTTTATTGTCTTCCGTAAGTCAGTCTTAATTCCTTAAAGCTCTTGTCACTTCTGAGTCTGTGTGTGTCTTCTCATATAAGACATTCCAGTCAAAGCCTTGGAAATTTAACCAGTTTTCAAATGCATACTGTTAAAGGAAAGGCTGTTATTAAACTTGTTCAAATGACAGTATTGCCATGAAAATAAGAGTACTCACTAGAGTTTCTGAATTCTGGAGGGTTCAGGTATTGAGAAAAAGATAAATGTTTCAATTATGCTAACACAGTTCTTATTTACCGTATGGTTCAAAGTCACAGGCAGCTTAAGAGAAAAATTATTTTATTAAATTCATTAAAAATATTGAAGGACCAGCAATATTTCAAGCAGAAGGTCGTAAAAGTTACACTCATCCTCACTAGTTCATTCAGTCTTTTGTAATTCAGACTTATTCTTTTTGAATTCTGTTTTCCATTCACTCTCCTGACCTTGCCTGATGATTGAGAGTGATAGAATCAATGATGATTCCAAGAAGTTTGCAAGACTTTCTGTGGAGGCTCATATGACTTGCTCAGTGAAGTGGGTGCATTGAGCACTAGAGACTATGGAAGGGTATATACCACATGGGAAACACAAATTGACAGTTTCTGTGCCACTGTGAAGGCATCAGCCTTGCACCAGGGAAAGGCTTAAATCCATATGGAAAACAAACATACAACAAGAGCATATTGATAACCAAAACTAAGTGGCAGTTAAATGAAATCCAGTGTAAATGTACTATTGTGGAGAAAGGAATGCAAAAAATAAAAAAGTTTGCCAAGGAGCACAAAGAATCAAAGGGCAGTCTTGGATTTCCCATGACCCTAACTATTTATTTAATTTATAGCCATTGTTTACTTATCTTAATTTCTCTGATATAGGAGCAGCCTCTTGCCATGCTACAAGGGTATCGAGATGGCAAAAGTCTGGAAATGACAAGCCACTTTTGCAGGAGCAGAAAAGACTTCATCTACATGTACCACACAGTCTTTATAGATTTGCAGTGGCCATTGCATGAAAGTCAGCCAGGGTTTTTCAAATACAGGAGGGTAGCTCCTATCATTGAGTAGATTCAGTTTTCTTAAGTAATGAAAGACCTAATTAAGACAACATAAAACACAGTATTATTTTGACAAAACACAGAATATTTGCTTCCTCAGCAGAAAACTTTT